TTGATGGAATTAAAAAATTGAATAAAATTTAAAGATTACTTGTGATAATGCTGGGGGACAAAATAAAAATAATGTAACAATTTGGTTTTATTCATATTTGGTAATATGTGGTTACTATGAAAGCATTGAATTGAATTTCATGGTTCCAGGACATACTAAATTTAAGCGTGATGGTAGTTTTGGATTGATTAAAAAACTCTATAGGAAAACAAGAGTAGATTGTGTATATCATGTGGTTGCAGTGGTAAAAAAGTCTAGTCCAGCTGGATTAAATAAAGCTCAGTGTTATGAAGGTGGAAAAAGTTTCAGTATTTAGATATTAAAGCAATTTTAGGAATTTATTTTAAGAAATTACCAAGTATACAAAAATATCAACATTTTCTTTTTGAAGCATCTAATTTTGGTACAGTAAAAGTTCAGAAGTTGCTAATGGTCCTTTTACTGAATTCAGTTTAATGAAAACCAAGAAAGTAGATATTTTGGAAGAAATTAGAGCTTTATCCATTTTAGTATTAACACCATCACCTTTGGATTACAAAAGGCAAGAATATCTTTATCATAATATTTCCCCATTTGTGAAAGATGAATACAAAGATATTACTTGCCCAAGACCAATCTATACTGGCAACAAATAAAATATTTAGACAAAAATTTTACTTTCTAAAGCAGTAATATAATAACAATAATCTAATAATAACAATGATAATAATAAATAACAACAATAATAGAAACGATAACTTTTTGTGCTACTGTAGCAGTTTTTGATAATTTAATTTTTAGCAATTATTTGAAAAATTTCTAATTCATCGAATTTACTACCATTCACTATACTGATGTTATTATAAGAACTTGGACTGCTGACAATTGTGCCACTTGTATTAAATTGAATATCACGACCACTGCCAAAAGTAGGTAGATGAGAATAATTACAATAAACTGCATTGCTAGAATTTTTAACACGACTATAGTTCGCAGTATTAATATCGTCTCTATTAGTTATGTTAAATATGAAACTTTCAGTTGTACTTTTATATCCATCTCCATTCCAATCAAGCGAATTATAACCACCAACTAATTGATCAGAGTCTTGTATTTTAGCAACTACCAGAGTGCCAGCGATGTTATCGCACTTTTTATGAAATGTGGTTGGATTTAAGCCATCTCTACTGCTACGATATAGAAGTTTAAACACATAATTGACTTGGCTGATTAAACTATATGGTGAGCTTTTGTTATCAATCCAGCTTGCAAAAAGTAAAGTGATCTTTTGCCTCATTGTTACCGAGTTAACCATGAGATTTCTTGATGGCAACAAATTATTTGAAATTGGTTTATCACCCTGGATTAAAAAGTAACGATTAATTTCTTTGTATAAGGCCCTAGGAAAAAGCATTTGGTATGGCGTAATTTTGTCGCAGAAATCATTACTAGAAATATCTCTGAATCGAATTAAAGAAATAAATTCTTTTATTGTCTTTTCAAATTCAGCAAAATCTTGCAAGGTCCAATCTTCAACATCTTCATCGATTTCTGGATGTTTTGCCAATCCCCATTTAATAATATTGTCCCAGATATCAATTTCTTCAGCATAAAAATCATCTTTTTCAAGAATTGCCAATAAAATTAATTTTTCCAATGATTGAAATTCAGCTGACTCAAATAATTTTCTGCTATCACTACAAATCTTTTCTAAGCTGATTTCTTTTAATTCATTAAAATTTTCATTATGGTAAGTCAATTGTAGAATTTTAACTGTATTTTCACCAATATAGGACTCGCAATTTTTAATAAAATAATCTTGTGTGTATCTGTAAAGTGATTGAAGACTAAGTTCATCAGATGCAATCATTAAATCCAATAAATCATCTCCGGTATATTCTCCTAATTCAATTTTACAAGCATATAAAAATCTATTAAAAAAATTTATTATAATTAATTAATTAGTTAATTAAATGAATGATTATCATTATTATAAAATTAATGTGAATTTACTTGAGAATAGTTTTAATCACGAGCTCATCGAAGTTTGATTTCTTGATAACATAATATCCATTTTCTTTTGTTGTATTTGACAATGCATGTTTAAAAAACGAGCAACGAGTGCTTAGAATTGAAGAATGCGCATGAATTTCTTTGGCATTTGTTCCAACACCAACATGCATTATAACGTCGTAATTGTCTTCCGAATCTAATAATTTTTCTAAATTATTAAAAAATTCTGCTAATAATGTTGCATCCATTTTTTTTTGTTTCTATGTTTCTATTAGAAAATAAATTTATTTGCAGTAGAGAAAAAAGCGAACGTGGGAATGAATGGGACACACCAAAAATGACATTATTGTAAATCACTTACAATCACGTGTTAAAATCAACCATTACGTGACAAATTTATTAGTGCCCCAAAGATTATGATGTTAAAGTCTAAAAATAGCAACGTCAAATTTTATTATTATTATTATTGTAATTGCTTTCTTTCTTGTATTTACAAATTACAAAAATATTAATTGGAATAACTATTATTTTAAAATTAAATTTTGACCACTTTATGATGCTAGAGAAGATGATACTTCTTTTTGTGATTCTTCATTTTCAAAAGATAAATTCTCTTCTGGAAATTGTTTTGATAACATTTCCTTCCATTTATTTACAAGATTCTGGGATCTTTCAACAATCTTATAATGATCTTCATTAAATGATTTTTCAGAAATCATTCTCATCACAATGCCCATTTTACTTTTCTATTGTTACATGTATATATATTTTAATAACTTTTATTAGTTAAAAGGTGATTTTAATTTATCAGTAAATTTGCATATTCATATATATACCTTTAAAATTTCAATCGTTATGAATGAGTTCTCAACTTCTTTAATTGCCTCATCGATTATTTTCAACTCAACCTCCTTTAGTATTTCAAAAATGAAATTTATATCAACTATTTAATTTATCTTTAATTATGAGGAATTAAAGAAAGTTCAACATACATCTTTTTCATCTCGAAGTGCTAATTTTTGCAATATATGTCTTAAATGAAGTAATCTCTTATCATCTCTAACTAATATTATTAAAAAAGAAAAAGAAAGTTTTTATTTGTTTCAGAGTATCCTTCACCCATTATAACATCTTGATTATCATCAATATTACTAGCAGCTTTTCCTTACCAATTTTATCTGCTAATTGTGTCTGTCCCTAAATTGAAATTAATATTAATGAAATATATGTGTGTATAATAATGATAAAATAATACCTTTTGATTTCCATTGGTAGTAGTTGTTGTTATTATTTTGTCTGTTTCTTTAAGCTCTTTCGCGACTTTTCCATTCGTATTAACATTTTGAAGTCTCAAGGATTTTCTAATAACAGGGACTTCAGCTTCAGAAGTAGTAATGTTTCTTCTTTTAATTTTACGCTTGACAATACTATTATTGTCCACTTCCTCCTTCTCATCATCAGATAGATCAGCACGTGATCGTTTTTTGTTTTTTCTGTTAACAGCATTAACAACAGCAATATCACCACCACCAATATTTTGTCCAGAAGATTTGTTATGCTTTTTTATATTTTTTCTCTTTGGTTTACGACCTCTTTTGGGCCTAATTTTATTAGCACTGGCTTGGTTGTCACCAACTCTATTTTCACTATTATTATTGTGATTGACTTCCTTAACTTTTTCTTCTTCTTCCTTCTCATTTCTCATTATAGTTCTTCTATTACTACTACTATTATTATTAACAATTGACTTATTTTGAATTTCGTTTGTTGGTTTCCTTCTACCATATTTAATCTTGTTCCTATTGCTACTATTGCTATAATATCTTCTGTATGGATCAGCAATTTTGAGCTGTTCGATTTTACTACTACTGGTAGCCTTGTTTTTTTCTGATGCTAAATTTTCTTGCACTTTATTGATCGCCCCGACCAATCTGCTATTTTTTTTATGCTTTTTTAATATACCATTAGCATCCTCATTTGTAAATAGTTTAAGATTGCCTTCCATAAGCAAACCGCTATTATTATAGATTAATGATAAGTTATTATTAATGCTGGAGATTTATTATTAAACGAGTAAAACAAACAAACAAACATGTATAACATACTAGTCTGACGATCCAATAAATTTTATAGGAATCAAGTCTCGACCATCTCGACCTATTCGTTTTCTTTTAATAATATTTTCTGGTAGCTCCTTATAATTTTCAACCTGAATGACACGTAGAAAATCATTTTGCATGGATATATAAAACACATTGTTTTGTAAATTGTTTTTTTGTAAACAATAATTCCCATTGGAAATATTATTGATAAACCTACCGTGCCAGGCCACCAAGGATGGCCTTTGACTTTTGCCAATACAATGGTCCCAATTTCAAATACCATTTTTTCAAATTTTTTAATAGATATATATTTATTATATGTGTGTGTATAACAATTAATTTAGTTCAAATACCATCAACAAACAACTTGATTTGAAATGTAATGAATGGTTAATTTGAAAAAGAATTGTTTTTGGTGACATATCGGCCTAACGCTTTTTTAATCACGCTATGCCCAAAATGGGACAACTTCTGGATTAAAATGTCACATTTAGCAAATCAGTCCTACTATTATGCATTCAGCAAGGAATAGTTGGGGTAAACAATCCAAAAGTATATATAAATTTGGTTTTATTAGGTTTCTCTATTTTCATTTCCATGCGTTTGATTCAATTCGTTTTTATCTCCTTTTCTTTGGCTAGCTTTTGAGAAATTCTTTGTTGTTTAATCATTTCAGATTTTTGCTTTTTTCTTCTTTATTGAATAAAATTTTCACACTCGAATAATTAATTTCTTTCCTTCTTTATCACTATGCGTGAATTTGCAATTCATATATATACTAAATACGTGAAATTCAAAAATTAGCCGATCAGAATTTCATATCACCCCAAAATTTTATTAATAAAAAAGATCTTCCTTCAGCATATATAACAAGAAAAAAAAAATGTATATGAAAGAAATAAAAAAATGCCAAATCAGAATTTTATTACATCTAACAATGTTACCACCAATATTGCTAGCAACAATAACAATAAAATAAGAATAGAGATATTACGTAAATTATTAGTTCATTCAGATGGGCGTGACAAATGTTTGAAAATCTTGCAATATTTTAGTAAAATAATTTTATTGCTTCATGTAAAAAAAAACAAATCCAAACATCCAATATTATATTCAAGGCTTACAGCATTAACCACACAATTTTCAAATACACGTAAAATAATTCGTTTAGCACATTTTCTTGAACCATATTCCGAATTTAAGGAATATATTTTTGGTGCAAAAAAAGATTTACCACCACCCGAAACTCCATTACATAAAAAGTCTGTATATTACCTTGGATTTTTGAATACAATATTTGGAATTTTCAATGATATATTTGATGATTTGTATTGTCTTGGTAAAATTGGAATATTGGACAAATCTGTTGCAGTAAGAGCAGAACCAATTGCAATCAGATTATGGTTTTTCGGTATTATGTTAGACATAAATGATATAATATATAGAATTAGGTTGACAAACCAAGAAATCAATAATATTAATATTGAAAAGAGTGCTAACGTTGAGAAAATTAAGAATAATAATTTAGAATTAAAATTATTAAAAGATAAAAAGTTCATGTTGTATAATAATTTAATAAAATTATTTGCTGATTTCATATTTTGTGGTAAACATATTTATTTATATTAATAGGAAATTTTGGAAAATTTTTTTTTAATTATTATTTATTATTATTAGGATATGATGTTTTTGAATTGGATTTATCATATGGAATTCAAGAAATTACTGGAATGATTGCTGGAATTCTAAGTAAGTTAAAAAGTATAATATTAATAATATTATTTTGCTTGTATATTAATATTATATTATATATGAATAGGTTTTTACAAACTATGGAAGAAAGAATTGACAAAATAATTTCTTTGCTCTATACATAGAAAATATTTTTCTATATAACTTTATTTTTATTTATTATCATTTTATTTATTAATTAAGCTATTGAAATATTTGTTTTTATAAAAAATATAAACAAAATATATTGTTATTTCTCAAGAATTATTTTCCAAGGTTTTTTCTATTTGAATAAATTATTATAAAATAATAATTATATCATTAAATTATATGTATATAATTTATATACTTTAATTAATGTCTCTCACTCTTATATTCACCTATCAAAACAAATTTCAATCAATCTATTCATTTGTTAATACACAAATTTAATTTAATTCAGACAGCTGACACAATTTAAAGAAAATCTAATTATATATCTATTTAAAATTTTTTAATTTTCATGATAATACCATTAAAAAAGGTTAAAGTATAGAATACGCATTGGATAAACCATTAAACCATCAATGTTTGTATCTGTTCACCATAAATTCGTCATGTTCTTTCACAATGCGACCACCTGGACTGGCATCATGATGACGAGGAATACCAAGGTTCAGGAATGGAGGATATATTGCTTTTCCATTCTCGTCAACCCAATCATAATCTATAAAGACAACTTTACCATTTATGGATTTGATAAGGACCCCAAATATAGTTCCATCTGTAGTGATATTATTGCTACCAAAAGCGTATTGGTTAAATGACATTTTATATGTCTTGTAAAAACAATTTTTAAAACTCTCTCTTCTATCATCACAGGAAAAAGTAACTTTTGACATTTCATAGGTGATTTTCAATGCAAAATCATAATCACGAGCAATTGGATTTACACTCCCCGGACAAAAGTATCCGGACGCCCGTTTTTACTAATTATACAAAAAAGCACATAATAACTACACAAATTTTTATCAAAATGCAGCTTAGGTTTTGATGAATATGCATGTAAATTTTGATACTCTCAAAACGTCTAAAAAAATTTTAATTAAAATAATTCGAAATTCGACGAAATCGCGATATTAATATCATTTTTTGTTTCTAGAATTTACTCAAAATCTTACATAATAATAAAAATAAAAATTTATGTCGATTTGTAGCTTAGATTTATCTAGAATATGAATACAAAATTTTGTAATTTTGGCTAGCATAAATAAATAATAATAAAATCGGATTTATAAAAAACGAACAGGAAAAATTTTGTGCCTTCATGAAGGTACCTAATTGACCCTCGCAATCCCCAGATCTTGATCCAATTGAACATCTTTGGAGTGAACTAGGGAGGCGATTAGATAAGTGAACACAATACCCAAAAAAATGCCAACGAATTGGAAGCTTGCTTTACAAGAAGTGTAGTCAAGAACTTCATATGAAACTTACTACAAATTAATAGAAAACATACCCAGAAGGATTGAGGCATGCATTTCTAGCGATGGATGGCCAACTTGATATTAATATCATTTTTTTATTTGTTTATATTTTGAACACAAATGTTTTGTTGATCATGAGAGTATCAAAAATTTACATGCATATTCATCAAAACCTAAACTGCATTTTGATAAAAATTTATATACAGTTATTATGTGCGTTTTTGTATAATTAGTAAAAATGGGTGTCCAGATACTTTTGTCCAGGGAGTGTATGTGTCTTAAATCATCATATAACTTCCCAATAATTTCATGTTGTAATGCTACAGGGTTTCCAGAGGTCTATGATTATAATATGCAAAGTCAGAGTCTTTTAATTGAATTTTTTTCCAGTTTTAATGGCTTTGCAGCTTCGCTAGGTGAAAACTTAGAACCCTTTATTTTTTTAATATATGGGATGTCCACCAGCAAAAAGGGGATCTGAGACTATTAAATTGTTCTGTGTTATTATCAAAACAAAATTGGTTACACAAATGGTTTTGATATGTAAAGTAAATATTTCAAGTCTTATATCTCATTATTGTATAGTGCACGCCACAATAACCCATCAAATAAAAATTGACCGACTTTAAAACCTAAAAAGAAAATATTGTGTGCTTATCAAAAATTTAATTGAGATGATATTTGATAGCTTTTGACTAGTTCTACAATCTATCATCAAGACAATTAAAAAATAATTATTGGTTCAGGAGTTATAAGCTTTTGAAAATCATGTAATTTTTATATGTTATATATAAAATTTTCCAAATTTGAAACATGTAATTTTGGCCCACCTCAGGTCACACATAAAAATAGATTTTTTAATTCTGGTAATTGCATTGAATTTATGAATATAAAATAATCCCATTCAAATTTTTTGTTTGAAGTTTCTCTTGAAGGACCTTTGACTTGTTGTGCTAGACATATCTTAGCAACCCAAGATGATTTTAAAAACCAAAACCCCTTACTTCAAGAATTAATTGAAGAAAGAACATAAAGTCATCTTCTATCCAAAGTTTCGCTGTGAGCTTAACTACATTGAAATGTATTTGGAGGCTGCTAAATGATATGTTAGACAACATTTCAATTACACATGGAAAAGTCCTTAAGAGAATGTCCCCAATGCTTTTGATTTTATATCACTGAGACAAAATTAGTAAGTATGTGGTGAGAGCCTCAAGATTTAAGGATTGTTACAGGAAAGGATTAACAGTACTACAGGCCAAATATATTGTAAAAAAATATAAGTCACATAAAAGGATTCCAGACAATGTGATAGATGAAATAGATGAATTAAACATTTTTATTTTTGATTGACATCTTTAATTGTGCCATGTTACCTCAAATTTTTTTAACATCAAATTTGTAATGAAAGTAATAAAAAAAAAATTCAAACTTTTTTTGTGAATTTGAAACATTTTGCACAGCATTTGATGGGTTATAGTGGTGTGCACCATACAATTTAATTTATTAGACTATTCAAAGGTTTATTACATGGTTGCTAACTGCTTAAATTTGAACCATTTGTTAATGAAACAATTGTTGACAAAGTGCAGTCAAGTAAATCTCCAAATTTGGAATTACCAAATATCGCAATGATCAACATCCTAAATAGTAAATTTGCACTACGTAAAAATTTGATTGGCTGAAATTCCTCCATTTTTTCCTTTTCTTTTCTCAAAAACTCACATAATATGAAAAAATTTAACTGTTCATAGAAGATCTCATGGATGTGTGTTCTCATAATCCATCAAAAACCCATCAAAATCCATTTAAACAAATATTTAATTATTTTAATTTTTTATTTGAATAGAATTTGATGGGTTTTTTAATGGTTTTGGTGGATTATGGGAACACACATCCATGAGACCTTCTATGAACAGTTAATTGACGATCAGTCTATAAATCAGAGAAATGTTGATCACTTTATTATAAAAATATGGAGGAAATTTATATAAAATTTTCAAAAAATAAAAATCTACAAATGTCCATTACACAATAACAATAAAACTTTTATAATCGTTATCAAACCCATTACTAATTTTGAACCAATAGATATCATTGTCAATAGATGATAATGACTTAAATTTATTGTATGAAAAATTCATACCACGATTTGCTTTAAAAAGTAAACAAAATTCGGGAAAAAAGTGGTGGTAAAAAGGCTTGATTTAAACGTAATTGAAAAATCCCTTCTCTCCAACAAATCAAATAATGGATATTTAGATTTAATCAAAATCATAAAAAACAAGCAGTTAAGAATGCTAATATGGATAATTAATGTAAAAAATAATAATATTAATATTAACTTCACATGTATAATGTTTTTCACAATAAATTTAATTGATAATCCATGATTTTTGAATTCATTAAACCTTTACCTTTAAGAATATTTATTATAGAGTCCACTCACACTCTCTAATAATAATGGATCCTCTGTAACATACTGAGAATATTGATATTAATATTAAGCCTGACCTATATGTCCAATATTAATATATTAATATATAAACTATTATTGCTGATAATGGATTATCTATAATAAACATCTTTTCCTAGTTATATTAATACTAATACTAATACTAAGTCAAATGGTCTGTTATAGAGTGAACTGTATATAGAAAAAAAAGAATTTTTTATTATTGTAAATGCAATTAAGATTCAATAATAATAAAACTATTACTATTACTATTACTATTTTCTCTTGTTAAAAACTAACATTACACATAAAAAACAAAATTTTCTATATAAAAATTTTCCAACAATCCATGAGTGCTAAAGAGTAAACTTTTTTCTTTGCTTAAGTAAAGGTAAAATAAAATATATTAATATGTTTTCTGAGTTATGTTTTATCTGCATGCTAAAAAAAAATTTATGTAGTGGAACAAAAGTATAGTACAATTTTTCATGCAAAGGTACTCAATTGGTCATTTTTGTGTCAATTTTCCTCCACTGATCACTATGTAAGACTCTTCGATTTATTTGTGGATCGTCAATTAAATTTTTTCATATTATGTGAGTTTTTGAGAAAAGAAAAGGAGAAAAAGGCGAAATTTCAGCCAATCAAATTTTTACGCAGTGCAAATTTACTATTTAGGATGTTGATCATTGCGATATTTGGTAATTCCAAATTTGGAGATTTACCTGACTGAAGTGATTGTTGACAAAATGAATCAAACCCATATTAGATGTTTTATTAACATCAAATTCATGATTATGATCAGCAATCAACAATCGCATGGGTTAAAATTGTGTTAGGGCACTGACATATATTAGCCAATATCATTTTAATAGTAGTGCTTACTCCCCCACCCCCCAGGTAAGACATTTTGATCACGTGCATGACAATCATTTGCCTTTTTTAGGTATCAACAAAGCACAAGCAAAAAAAAGAATTAATTTTATTAATAAATCAAGCATTTTAAAAGCAACATTGGAGTAAATAAATTTTCCTTTATAATATATGGGGCATACTGCAACAAAACCAAACAAAGTGAACATTGGTATTACCAAAAATTTCAGTGATCAAAATTTAGTTGATTATATAATTAACAGTTTTATAATATCCCATTTGTTATCTTTAAGTGATATATAGAATTACCTCTATATAAAAATAGTTAATAT